ATCAGCATCAATAGCCGAGTCGATAGAGCCATGTCTGTCTGTCCGTCTGTCCGTCTGTCCGTCTTGTTTGTCGGCTAGTTCTCAGAGACTATAAGAGCTACAGTCACCAAATTTTGCATCCAGACATCTATATGCTCACACTAAAACCAGTGTATTTCAAAAATGAACCACGCCCCCTTCCGCCCCCGCAAAAGGGCGAAAGCCTCCCAAATCTACAGTTTTGAAGATACAAGAAAACTAAAAACGCCATTCCGTAGGAAATGGCCATATATATCAGATCACCAAATTATGATCCGATCGGATCATTATTATAGCCACAACGGAGAAATTAATTTCCAGTGGCTAAACCCACCCTGTCCCGCAGCTTTTGTTGCTCTTTTTCACTCGGCCCCTGCCTCTGCCCTCCCCCTGCCGCTGCCTCTAACGACTTTTAACCCACCCCGTCCTGCAGCTTATATTTGTTTTGTTTTTGTGTACGGGCGCTGCCTTTGCCGCGAGTCTGCAGTGTGTGTGTCTAGGGCGGCGAGCTAAAGGAGCGTGTTCGCGTGAGAAGTGTTGTAGATGTAGATGACAGACGAAGAAAAAATTTAAAATTTGACAAATAACCGCTAAGGTGCAGATGTAGTCCTGAGTGCCGGGTATCAAAATTTTTGACGCGTAAGAAGCGTCTCACACGTCCCTTCTCGATATTATTTATATTGAATATATAAATAAAAAATAAATAAATATTATTTTCACAAAACAAACAGCAATGAGACCAGTGTGCCGACCAAGTGCTTAAAGCAATTCTTAAAGCGGGATCGAAAACAGATGAGCGCAGAGAGGAGAGAAGAACAAGCGCAGCGGCAGCTAAAACAGTGAGCGCACGCCAGTGCACAGAAAGTATTGAGAGCGAGAGGGGGAGAACTCGAGCTATAGAGTGAAAGACAGAAGCGCAACTACAAGAGAGAGCGGTTAAAAGTGAGGGCGTACTTACAACAAGAAAAAAGCACAAACACACAACTAACCGACGCACAAATGAATACGATTTTAATTTTAAACAAATAATAGGCATGCACTCGCGTATTAGGATAGTTAAGAAAAGCGGCAAGCTATTCAATAATTATAAGAAGAATTATTTCGAAAATACGGAGCGCAAAACAAAAACACGTCTGGTCACTACGAAAGAGAACGATCGAATTATCTGCTCCATATTTTTCCCACGAGATGCAGAGAAGGGGAACGGTCAGCCCAGGCAGAGATCCACTTTGCCCGGGTAAGGCATCATTAGAACAGGGGGCTGCCATTTCCCTGAGCTCTCCGTTCACGACTGGGCTACTTTTTATACCGTGCCCCCAGCCAGACTGACTCTCGGCACGGGTCGACTGGGTGGGATGAGCTTAGCTTGGGTGTTGTGTGGGGTGGGGAAGTGTGTGAGCTACTTATACGAGGCGGCACCACAAGCGCTTCGTTAGTGTTGCTACTTCGCGAACACCCGGTGGCTGTCCGGGGCTGTTTATTTCGGTATTTTCCCTCAGAGACTGTGTCAACTGTGTTGACATTCTTTGGGATGCCCGCTTATTGAAAGCTAACCTACCTAACAAGGTAACGGCATACCTTGTTAGGTATGCTATGCTATCGCTATCCGCAACTCGCGACCCGTCCGGTGGCCTCAGTTAGGCCCCCTTGAACCACCTCACGCTCGTTGGATTCGTCGGATACAGGGGGACTAACGGGTGGCGGGTTGGCACTCGACTGGTGGCAAGGGGTTTTCCTGGGCTTTCCAGGGAAGTAGCCCTGGCAAGGAGACCTTGCGACTGAGCTTGGATACAGGGAGATCACGAGCTATACTCTCCCCGTGAGGGCGGCTGGTAACAGGTCCTGCCACGGATGCTGGCTAATGGTAGTAGGGCGGAGAGTAGAAAACTTTCGTGAAATTGCCCCAATCCAAGGTGACACTGTCATATGCCGATGGATGCATGGCCGAGGGGGTGCTCGGTCGCTAGTATGTGGACTCTGGACACCAGCCGACCTCCACTTTAAACTAGGCTTCCATAGCCGGCTTTATGCCTAGGGCGACCAACCCCTTCCCATCTACTCCTGGGACCATTCCGAGGAGCTCGGTACTCCTCTTAAAGTGCCAAAGGGACAAGCGCAATTCGTCTTGAGGCGAAAACCGCTGCGGGGACAAGTCCGATTAGCCAATCGGTCCAATCCAAGTCTGGGGAACCCAAGGGCAAACCATTAAGTGAGGAGACTGCCAAGCAGGCAGGCAGAGGCGAATCACAGCAGAGTAAGCCGTCATACCACGACCCTGCCTTCAAGTCGTCGGAAAAGGAAGCTCAGCAGAGGCGATGGGCCAGCGAGGTACTACCGGATTTCCAGCCAACCAAAGCTGGGAAGGGCGCAGCCAAGGTCACAAGCAAGCGGCAACGATCGGCAGAGGCCCTGCCACCAAACCGTGCCAGGCCCAACAATCCAAGCGGGCAAAACGCAACCCTTGAACAGATCGTTCACGGAGGTGGCGAGGGGCAAAACCCTCATTGGCGTCCTGGACTTCCCTCGGGACAAATGGCGCCTAATTGCCGCAAAGCTCCAGGATGGCATCAAGGCAAGGTGAAAGCCATAGCCTGTCTGGATGACCGCTCGGCGGCCTTCTATATGAAGTCTGTGGCATCGCTCAAAGAGGCCTACCCGGGGGCGAAGCTGGAGGCCGTGCGAAGACTTCCCAAGACGTCCCCCAGACCTAGGGAAAGAGCGTGGGTCTCTATAAAGCCGAAAAAGATCCTGAGGATCCTGCATTTGTGCAGATTAAAGCAGATTTAGCTTTAGCCCTTTAGCTCGTTTCCAGTGTAAGCGAACCCTTGACATTACTGACTTCACTGTCTTCATTGTTGGCTTCTACTCATCTCACTATCACTTGGAATGGCTGTGTCAAGACTTGCAAATCGATTGTTCGGTTCGTCTGCTGGCTTGTAGTTAAGAGGGATTGTTTTGTGACAGGGCTTATCACTTGTTGTCTTGCTTTTTGGAGCAGTTGCCATAGTGCAGGTGGTGTTGTTGGTGGCACTAGTAAATGTCACAGCTGTCGTGGTTGGGATGTAACTTTGCGTCTCAATGTAGCAGGAGCGTTTTCTCATGATCAATCTGCTTATTTCTAAACTTAAAGTCAGCAAAAATGTGGTGTTATTCTTCAATGACTTGATGGAGTAATACAGATAAGGTCAGTTTACTGTGCGGAGTGAGAGGGAACGGCCTTGTCGTCGTCTTGCCCAAAGGGCAGTAATTGCAGGTGTACACACTTATTTTAATGTTATTTGTTTTCATGCAATTGCCGACGAAGCAGCGTCCAAAGTTACCGCAGTACAAAAAAAAAAAAGAAGGGACGTGTGAGACGCTTCTTACGCGTCACAACTTTTATACCCGGCACTCAGGACTACATCTAGATGTAGAAGACATCGCCAACCACTAGATATCGTTCACATTACAGAACACGTAGTAAAAAGCCTACTAAATAAAATGCATCAAAAAAATTGGATCAGTTAATCGTATTTTCCAATTTAAGAGATATTTAAAACAGAAATAAAAATGGTACTTTGAGGCATGAGGCAGAGCCCTCACACAAAAAATAAACAAATATAAGCTACAGGACGGGGTGGGTTAAAAGTCGGAAGAGTCCTCGCCAGGGGGAGGGCAGAGGCAGGGGCCAAGTGAAGCAGAAGCAGAGTGTGAATGAGAGAATGTGAAAAGAACAACAAAAGCTGCGGGACAGGGTGGAAAAAATGTAAAATTTGACAAAACACCGCTAAGGTGCAGAAGTAGTACTGAGTGCCGGGTATAAAAGTTGTGACGCGTAAGAAGCGTCTCACACGTCCCTTCTCGTTTTTTTATACCCGGTACTCAAAGAGTAAATAGGGTATATTGTATTTGTGCGAATAACGGTTGTATGTAACGCACAGAAGGAAGCGTTTCCGACCCCATAAAGTATATATATTCTTGATCAGCATCAATAGCCGAGTCGATAGAGCCATGTCTGTCTGTCCGTCTGTCCGTCTTGTTTGTCGGCTAGTTCTCAGAGACTATAAGAGCTACAGTCACCAAATTTTTCATCCATACTTCTATATGCTCACACTAAAACCAGTGTATTTCAAAAAATGAACCACGCCCCCTTCCGCCCCCGCAAAAGGGCGAAAGCCTCCCAAATCTACAGTTTTGAAGATACAAGAAAACTAAAAACGCCATTCCGTAGGAAATAGCCATATATATCAGATCACCAAATTGGGATCCGATCGGATCATTATTATAGCCACAACGGAGAAATTAATTTCCAGTGGCTAAACCCACCCTGTCCCGCAGCTTTTGTTGCTCTTTTTCACTCGGCCCCTGCCCCTGCCCTCCCCCTGCCGCTGCCTCTAACGACTTTTAACCCACCCCGTCCTGCAGCTTATATTTGTTTTGTTTTTGTGTACGGGCGCTGCCTCTGCCGCGAGTCTGCAGTGTGTGTGTCTAGGGCGGCGAGCTAAAGGAGCGTGTTCGCGTGAGAAGTGTTGTAGATGTAGATGACAGACGAAGAAAAAATGTAAAATTTGACAAATAACCGCTAAGGTGCAGATGTAGTCCTGAGTGCCGGGTATAAAAGTTTTAACGCGTAAGAAGCGTCTCACACGTCCCTTCTCGTTTTTGAAATACACTTGTAACAGTGTGAGCATACAGAAGTCTGGATGCAAAATTTGGTGGCTCTAGCTTTTATGGTCTCTGAGATCGAGGCGCTCAACAAGACGGACGGACGGACGGACAGACTGACAGACAGACATGGCTCTATCGGCTCGGCTATTGATGCTGATCAAGAATATATATACTTTATGGGGTCGGAAACGCTTCCTTCTGTGCGTTACATACATCCGTTATTCGCACAAATACAATATACCCTATTTACTCTTCGAGTACCGGGTATATTGAATAGAAAAATATTTGTAAATTTGTTAACAACAATATTTTTACAAATACATAAAATAAAACAGTTTACAAGTTCCTTTTCGTTTTATTGCACAAATTCGTCTTAGACACTAACAATAATAATATTTGATGTATGGATGTTGTATGCAACTGCAAAAAACCTTATGTGTGTAAATACCTAACAACTTGGATAACAATTTAGCGATATAATTATAAAAATTAGAAACTCACAGCTTACAATGCAATGCGGTGATGCTTTGTTTTTGTTTTGTTTTTTGTGATATTTTGCAACAAAAATTAAATCTACAAAAGCATCCCCTAAATTCCACAATTCTTTCGTGTGCTAAAAAACTACAACCTTACAAATGTACAATATACAATATACACATACAAATTAATTGTTAAAAGCCTTTCTGTCATGTTTTGCTACGATTAATTTGCATAAAATATCCAAATGACTAGCTCTAAACAGCCCGTTATCTCTAAATACCACTATGTAAATACATTTTAAGTACGTATGCTAGTCATGTGTGTGACTGAAACAACCTCCTGGTTCCCATTTGTGTCCAAGTACATTAAATATAATGAGAGAGTGGGACACCACCACTCCATACCTTGGGGTAGTGCCTGCCCAGGGAGAAACAAATCCCTCCCTTTTCCCCTTTGGCTTGGCTTTGATAAAATTCGTTGTGCCCGTGCCTGCCTTTCCTGCCTTTCCTGCTGCTCATTCGCTGATTGAGTAGGCTTTCCGGATGCATTTGCTGTGCCGCGTTATCCTCAACTCCTCGGCTTCGTGCGGCGGATGACGGCGCAGCTCCGGCAACTCCGTCGATGACTTGTTTAGCGCATAGGTGCGAATAAAGTCAATCGTGGAGTAGCCCTGTGTCGTGGATGATTCTACAGCTGCTTTGCTTGTCTGCTTGCCCGCGGAAGTGTCTACCATATCCGTGGGAGCCGCTGCACTGGACACGCTGTTCAGGCTATGGGACTGTGGTGGAGGAATTGGCACATCCAGCACGGAGATCGCCTCGGGCGTAACTGGTGCTGTTTTGGCATGTGCCAAAGATTCGGCAGTGGTCACAGTGACCAGCGAGAGACCGCTGCCAAAGCCATTATACAACCTGGGTGAGCACTGGCTGATGGGGCTGCGCGGCTGATCCAGATCTAGGACTATATAGTTTACACCACTAAAGTTGCCCGCCAGACTGGTGGGCGTGGCAGGTTCCGAGGAGTCGCGGCTAACCTCACGGGGCGGCAGCGGCAGCTCCAAGCGGTTCACATTCTCATAGCAACGCTCCGCGCTTTGGTCGAAGACGGGCGTCTCCACATTGGCATACATGTGCAAACCCTCAATGGGAGTGACAGGAGCTGGTGGTGGCGCCGTCTCCAGCGGTGGCATATCCAATGTGCGGCGGCGCATGCTCAGCCTGCTGGGCGGCGTTTCCTTGCTGGCGGGAAAGCCACCCGAGGTGGCTCCTCCATCTTTGCAGCAATCTGGTATAGCCCTCAGTGGCTGGTCGAGATAAACATTGGTCTGGGCATTGGCGTATGTCGAGAAGGGCAGCACGGGCGAGTGCAGACTTTGGGAATCCTCGAGCTGTGCTGTGGTCTCAGTCGGCACCTGCATTGTCATCTGGAAGGAGACATTGGCATTGGCGGATTCTGTCAGCGAGCTTCCAAGGTTCCGGCCGATTATCGGTGCTGGCTCCAAATAGTTGTTGCTGTGTGGATTCGCATCCGTGCGCCCCATCAGCACGGACACCGAGTGGGCCGAGTTCATTCTCTCGCGTTCCCCTTGGGCAAAGGCGTCCGTGTTGACCGCATTGATGTAGCGCTGGAACATCGGATAAAGCTGGTCGGCATTGTGCACACGAAACGTGTATATGCCTGGCCCGGACATGCAGCGGCGCCCAGCCTCGAAGGAGAAGAGGTCCGCATTAAGACCGTAGCGACGTAGGTGCTGCAGGGCCCACACAATCGGTTCGCAACCGGGCGTCAGGAAGATCAATTCACGCGGCGTCAGTTCGAGGTAACCGCTGCGGATGATGGGCGTGCCGGGACTGGGCTGCAGGTGCGCCACCCGCACGCGAAACACGTTGTCGTGACGCAGCTCATTCAGCTTGTTGGTGCTGGTGATGCAGCCCATGGCGGTTCCTGAATAAAACATTATGGATGAGTGTGGAATTATTTTAGTGGCGGGGATGTGTGATAAATACCGGGATGGGTTGATCAGCCTGCTTACGGCTCCGGCTCCAGGTCCGGGTCTTATCGCAGCGGGCATCAGAGAGAGCCTACGCAAGTAGATAACACTCCTTGGGGACAGAACCACACCTCACCCACCCACCACAGCACTCACGACCCACTTGCTGCTGACCAGCTTTAGGGGCGTAATACGGTGGCTTGGCTTTTCTGCAAGCTTTCCAGCTGAGTCCACTGCCTATTATGCGTTATGCCATAGGCCAATTGTTGTTATTTTTTACCTGATTTGTGGGAAGAATATTAAAACTTTACTTTTGCGACTTTTCCCATGCTTTGTTTAATCACGCAATTGTGAGCAGCAGCACAGCTCTCTGCTAAGCAGCACTAACGCGATGCCAGAAACACCCTCACAGTAGAGGTACTCTGCAAAATAAAAAAAATATATATATACATATATCCATAAGTGCATGTTCTTTGCAATTATGTATAATGAATAATTACCACTAATCTAACAAAGAAGCTTGGAAAACATATTTTTAACTATAGTTTAAGGAAATTTATATTTTTCTTGACTCTTTTTTTTTAACTCTTTTTGTGCACATTCCAATACAAGGAATTAATTAAAACTAGACAATCATGGAGAATGTAAGAATAAAACGGATTAATCTAAGGTTTAGTGTTGAGTATCCTAGCTAGATGGTAATATTAAACAGAATATCTAAGTTGAGGAAGGGAATAGGATTTGCTTTGATTTATTTTCTTTTACAACGAAAAGGTCTATTTTTGAGGGTCTGACGCTATATTTGAACGATAATACTGCCATTATGCATTGGAAACAGGGTGACCATTAAAGTCAAGTACTCAGATGCACTAAATTTTCTTGTGACAGACTCCCATATATTTCGCTCTGTGCCCAGTATGTGCATGCTCTCTGGGTACACTATTTTGAGTTTGTTTACAAAATAAAATCCGTTAGAACTGATACAAATCAGAGAGGACATAGGGCTTGGAGGACAACTATGCACCGCATTATTGAAAAAGTACGTTCCGGAGGGACATAAATGCAATAAACATTAAAGATAAATATATTATAAAATCCAAATAATCAGTTTTCGTTAGACTGCTTTAATAAGTTATAAATCTTTTTTTTTCATGTTCTTTTCTAACCCTCTTGCGCTTGTTTCGCATATTTCCTTCCCTGTTTTTGTCGACAGTAGACAGAAATATTTTTTTTTCCCCCTTTGAGATGGTAGCATTTGGCTGGTTTGCTGGTATATTTTCCGCTGATCGCAGTGGCTGCGAAATTTTCTGTCGATCAAAAAACGGGGCTTTCATCCTTGAGTCGGTTAACCGAAAAGTTAGCGCATCTGAGTACTGGGCCTTAAACTTAATTTGTAAACATTCCAACAAAAAGATGTATTGAAAACTATTCAGTCTTGTGGAGAATTGAATGAGAAATCGAAAAAAATTATAGTTTTTGCGCAGAGACTTCTAAATAGCTAGTATTATCCAATAGAACATCAAAGTTGAGGAAAATTATGTAACGTTTACGGTATATTCACAGTATATTTTGTATATTTCAGTATGTTTCCGAGGGTCTGTCGGTATATTTATCGATAATTCTGCGGTCAGATTGGTGCACGGTCACACAGAAAGCAGACATTTTTTATTTGTGGAGCGCGCAACAAGAAAAAGAACGAAGACCGAGAAACCGAAACGGAAAGAAAGTAAGGAGTTTACATTAACCGCAGAGCAACGAAAGAACATAGTGCGTGTGTTTAGCTAGACTATTGAGCCAGGTAAATTGCAATTTCAGTAATAATTTCATCAATCAATGCTTCCCAACCCGACGCCAAGCAAACATTTTTTGAAAAGCCAAGCCATGCAGTCTGCCTATATGTGTATGTGTGTGCGTGTGTAAGTGGTACTTTTGAAATTCTCTATACCCGCTTTTGTGCTCCGTTTGTGTACAGGACAAAGTTGTGTGTGTCCACATACAGAAATGTTTAAATTGTATTAAATGTTAAGTGCCGAGTTGGAATTAATACATGTTTCTCTCAATATTGGCACAAGTGTCGTCCATCTCGAGACGCACACAGGCAGTGGCGAGACCACTGACGCCGACGCACACCCATACACATGCATGCAGCACACAAAGTCGGGAAAAAAGGACGCCATGCACGTTGGCTTAGTGTGCGTGTGCGAGTAGCTCAAGAAATGCATTAAAGTTTTTTTGCCTTAAATTTGTTTAAATTTAGCCCCACAAATAGACAAAAGCCGGTCTTCCTTTGTTAGTATGATCACCTACCCCACCCTGGATGCCCTTTAAATTTCACCACTTTTGAGCAGCGTTTTTCACAATTTGTTGGGTGTGCCGCCTTCGGAGCGTCGGCGTTGCCACCACGTCGGCGTCTCTAGCAAACAGGCATGCCCATGCCGGTGGGGCTTGTATCCGTTTTTGCTCTCTCTCACTCTCTCTCTTTCCCGACTTCATTCGCTCTCTGTTGCCTGTTTTTGCCCTCTATGCCGCTTATCAACATTCTTCCTTTTGCGTGCTTCATTTATCCTTTACGCTTTGTGCTGTACCCACACACACATACACATGCATACATACAGCTACGCAGCCTGCCTTTTCCTTTGTGCGTATGCATGTGCATGAATGTATGTACGTATGTATATTTCTGTGTATATTCGCTTTGCCTTGTTGCCTTGACTTGACTTCTTTTTTATTGTCGTTGGCTTGCCTTGGCCTGCCCCGGAGTTGATGTGTTGGGGAATCGTGTTCTTTGTTAGCACTGCACGCCTGATTACACTTGCTAACATGTTTTTCGGACACGGCTGCCGCCACATCCTTGTGCAAGGTGCAGTCGACTGAAATTTGTTGTCCAGTGTTGACTGTTATTTGACGGAAGTCTATCCCCCCACCCCCGTTCACATCAGCTCCGCTCCCCCTCATATTACGTCTCGGTTTAGGTTTACACGCTCCGAGATTATCGATACACAGCCGCTGCCGAAGTCGTCGTCGCTGACTGAGGATCGTCTTTTTATTTATTCTACAATTTTGTTACGAAAAATTGCGTCGCATTTTTGCAGCGCCAGCAGTCGTCACTCATCAGACGACTGCCAGCCACCGCCCTGGCGTCGTCGCCTACATGCCCTGCCTTGCCCGCGTATGGGTATGCTCACCCCGCCCCACCGCTCAATGCACTTGTGTTGGTGAGAGTGCATTTGAGTGTGAGTGCGTGTCGGTCCTTCATCGTCGTCGTCGTTGACAGAGGGAGTGGGTGTACGGAAAGAAGCAGAGCATTGATTGTCATTCCAATTGTTGGGATGTATTTTTATACTCTGGCAGAGAAGACCCATTATAACTAGGCACAGGAGTTTGGAGAGGAGAGAACCCTTTATAGTACGAGTATAATTATACTCGAATTCGGCTTTAAAGCAATTTAGATACAGCACCAGGAGCTGCAAGTACCCCTAAATCCAACCTTTCTTTCTCAAAAAGTAACATTTCAATCCGAATCGGTATATAATTTTGCCTGAAGAGGATCCTATGCGACGAGTCGTGCGGTTTTGTTGAAGTCGTTTTAAATTACTGTATTTGCTTGCTTCCCTTTGGGGGGGGATGATTGAATTGTTGGCGAATTTGTTAACGTTTGCTCAAAACTCGAATAAACATTCAGAGCAGTGCGGGGTGCGGTATTAGGAGATAGGGGAGTGCCAGCAAATAAACCGTTCCGCGAATTGTGGGTCGTCATCAAGTGCGAATTGTGGTTAACGTCGAGCGATCGCAAAATTGGCCAGGCCAGCCCTGTCATCTAATCTCTTAGTGCAGGTTCCTTCTGGCTACAAATTCTTACGGAACGCCCCACGCATTTATCATAGATAGAAATAGACAAAAACAGCAAAAAAGAATGAGGATAACGACTTTAAGATACCCAATGCAAGAGTATTGTAAGCAGATAAAAATTATAGTATTGCCAGAAATATGACATAGTTGATACAGCTCTTAGTTCCAAATTCGTACCCCATTGTACATCATGAGTAAGGGGTGTGAAAATAGCGGGCGGCATTGATAAGCAACAGCCAGTGCTGCAGCAGCAGCGGTGGCGGGAGCAGTGACAGCCAGCAGCAGCAGAACAGCAAGGCGTAAACAGAAATTGAAACGAAAAAAAAAAAAAAACCACAAAAATGAAATTCTACGCCAAAAGCAAAAGCTTAAATTTAAATGGGGTACCGAGTGGAATAGGGTGTGAGGGGGATCAGTAGCGGCAAATCGGATCCCAGGGCCGCTTATCTGCTCCTCCAACGCTTTTGTTTATTCTTCTTGCTAACTTCTGTTGCTTTTGCGATTGATTTTCGTTTGGATTACAAATATTTTGCTATTTCTGTTGATCTAGCATTAAAACAATTCGCCAAACGCCTCATACAAAAAATATGCAGAACGGCAATTATGTTTGCTTTTTTTTTTCGTAAGGGGGGCAACATTCCTGGGGGATTACGAGTTGGATTTTGACTCAAGTAGTGTATAGGATGCCAATTTTCAAATAAAGAAAAAAGTAATGTAGAAAGAAGATCCACTTCTGGGCCTGGCCTGTGCCTGACGCGTACAGGCTGGCGGTTGGTGATTGCCTCCGCAACATATTTCACACAGATGTTTGCATATATTTTAAAGAGAGAAAAGTACCCTTGTATGTGGTTCTTCTGGTTCCCCATACAGTTCTCTGTGGTCGTATGTCGATGACAAGAGACTTTTTAACACTTTGGCTTACTTCTCTCTCTCTCTCTCTCTCTCTATCTCTCTCTCTCTCTCTCTCTCCACAGTTGAGCTTCAGACTTGGTGCTTGCTCTTTCGTTGATGCACATTTGCATATGTACATACATACATATGTATGTATGCATGTGAGTTGAGTTTCTTTGAATACTTCCTTTTGAAGAAAAAACTTGAATTGATCGTTTTGCTGATATGATAGACATCCCCACGCTCTGCTATGGATTGTTTCGATTTTCCATTAATCTCCAATATGGAAAATGTAACTGTTATTCTTTCTGGAAGATATCCATAACTCGCATGGAAGCGTACTTCCACTCTCTCTTACACTCTCTGCGGACAATGCCCAAGAAATAGCCAGTGATATCCTCAATTAGTGAGCCCCCACAATTGTTGCTGAAATATTTATGTGACTGTATGCGTGTTTGTGTGTATAACACACAATTACTTTCCCATCCGACGCGATAATTAAATAACAATACCAGAAATCCGTTCAATGTTACACCATGCAAGCCAGCAGCAGCAGGAGGCGGAGTAGGGGTAAAGAAATTCGGTGATTCTTCACGCCTCCTTTCCTCCCTTTCATTGTGCCAACAACAATAGCACATGCATCCAAGCATGCATCTGAGCGTGTATGTGTGAAAGTACATATATGCGCACTTATGCATATGGTTTATGCCCGCTTGGTGCCTGCTACTGTTCTTCTGCCGCTGCAGCCAGCGTCTGCGCTGGCATGTGGGGTCATTGTGTATGGAGAGCAGGCATGAATGGCAGCGACAACAGCAGCAGAGGGAAAATAAAGCAATAAAGCATACGCATTGACGCCGCCATGGCTCATTAGTTTGTTATTGACTAAGGCTGGGTCTCGTCGGGCAGTGGGCGGGGGTAAAAAGAATGAGAGAAGTGGACCTCTTGCCTTTATCGGTTACTGATGATGATGATGGTCAATGCATGTGTAAATAAATGTCTTTGCCCGCCCGCATTTTAGCTACTGCTTCTTTCTGACACGCTCTGCTCTGTCAATGACGGTGACTGCTCTGCCAGAGCTTCCGACAAGCGGCGCTTCTGGCTGCGACTGTTGCTGCTGCTCTTTGTCTGCTTCTGTTGACTTCGCTGTCGAGTTTTTGTTGAGTGCAACAGAAGTTGCTCCCCATTGATCGAGCCAGTCGTCGTTTGTCGCTCGACTTAACGGTTCGTATTTGCTTGCAACGCGCTCTCCCGGAATAAAAAAAAGCTCAGTGCCTCTTCATCCGCAATTAAAATTGTGCTCTTGAGAAGTTCTAGTTGATAAAAAAAAAAACGGAAGATTCAAGTGCGATAGCTAAACGGTTGAATTAAGAAAGCACTCTCACTAAATAAGTGCTTCAGACACAGACGATAGATAGCCTTTCACTAGGAGACCACCCGCGGCTGTCTGAGTAAGTACCGGAAACTGATGAAGAAGCTAGGTAGAGGCAGAGTCATAGCAGTTACCGCTACACTATGAATTATGCATTAAAAATACATTTACAACGGACAAAGACGGACGCGAAGAGACCCCCTTTTGAATTTCTAATCAGAAATGTGCGGGCGCTCGCGCCACTTGCGACAACTCACTCAATCCTCTCCGCTCCTTCTCCAATGCTCCACTCATTTTGTTCGAAATGCTAATTCTAAGACCGACGAGGCGACTAATTGTCCCGTTGCTGGTTGCTGCCTTTCTTGTTTTTTATAACTTTTTGATACACAACTTGCAATTGTCGCACGCTTTGGAGTTTTAATTAACCGGAACGAGAGAGAGAGAGAGCAGAATCCAGAAAAAGAAGTTTGAACTAGTAAGAGAGAACAAGAAAAGAGGAGAGCAGGAACCGGTTTGCTGGACTTGCAGCTAGAGCAAGCACACCTTCTTGTTTTTTTGTTGTTGCTGATTTCTGATTTAGTTTATGTTCGTTTATCCTTTAGTCTACAGTGGGGTTCGAAAAAGCGTGGGCCGGCGACAAATTTATTGGGACCTACGCTCTGTCTGGCTCGCTCTCTCTCCCACCTTTGTAGGTCTCTCATTTGAAAAGGAAACAGCATAGCATTGAATATTCAAATATTTATTGTAATTATTTTCAACGGCCGGCCCACAGTAGTTGAGTGTGGAGTGAAGTGTGAGCTTTTTTCTATACCCTGCACTCATTTGGTGTAGCGGGTATATTTGTTATATTAATATGTATAAACAGCTACAATTTAAAAGATATTCGTGTTCCCATGTGTGAGTCTCATTTCAACAGTGACGGGTTGGAGCCTTTTCAAATGTAAATCATTCAATTTACATATTTTAAAAGTCTATGAACGAAACGTCATAAGAGGATATGGGTATCTGATAGTCGAAATACTGGGCTATAGCTATTGCTACTTGGTATTGGTATCTCTTTGTTGTTCTTGTTATGTACTCTCGTATAAGGAGCCTGACGGGCATTACACATTGTTGAAATATTTTCAAGAATTTGATGAGTGCGCGCAGCCATACATGCGTCTACAAATAGCCACAATTCGTATGCCATTTGCGAAAAGAAGTTGTTGGTTTACAAAAATACACAAATACGCGTGCATATGAAAGACGTTCTCAACGAGCTTATAAAATTTGATGGTTCTTGCTGATGATTTTATGCGTTTTGGGTCTCATTATAGTTTGTATCTGTTGCTGTGTGTGTCTAGGCGATTGTCTGTTTTGATAGTTTTTGGAATGGCATAGCCCAAGGGGGAAGAAGATATTTTCAAGTGCGTCTAATTTTACGATCGATGGATGCCCACCCATTCTACTATTGGATACTCGCATGTGCTTATGTATGCAGAGTGACGGTAGGGTGAAGTACAAGAATATGTTGAAGATGGTTACGATAAAAACCGACTAGATAAGCCGGTATCTAGCTGTCAGGCAGTGAAAACTTGACTAGAGCACGTCTACATACAATGTGGGGAAGGTAATGTTTGCTTTGCCTAGAGATCACTCCACGGAGTAGCTGTTTGTCTGCACGAAAGATACTGTACAACTATGTATCTTTAATACGCATGTACTAGGAAACATTGGTTGGGTTGGGTATAGAAGACAAGTGTGTGCACCCAGCCTAGATCACGTAGCACCCACTCTTAAGTGAAAATCCCTTTCTTTGTTGTTCCGGAGACCATTCTGAATCACTTGGTGTATTGCTGATATGGGTTTTCTTATTTTCTTATGTGCTTTGCCCGTCTCTTCCTCTTCCCATTCGATTTATCAATTTAGTAATCGTGTTGTTCCTGTACAACCCACACCGTTTCTTCCCCCTATCTGCTTTAACTACTTCCTCTATTGTTATCACTTGCTATTGGTGCTACTGCAGATAGTTATCCGAGTAGCAGCAAATAAAGTTCTTTCGGGGAATATTTTACCGCTATTAATTTTTGGCCATGTGGACCGGGTATAAAAAGGAAGAGAGGAGTGTGGTGTAGGTTCTTAGTACCGTCAGAACATTCAAAATTGACCGGAAATGATAATTGAACAAAATATTTCCTCTTTTCTTTAGGTTCCTCTTGACAACTGCGTGTGGTGTACGCGTATGCGTATGTGTGGTGTGTTTTGTGTATTGTACTTGTTACTAATTATGGAATGCATTCATTTTACGTATCATTTTCATATTGCCACAACGCTCAATTCCTCGAGTACGGCACACACACACACACTCACACACAACCAACAGCAACAACAATTATATCCGGTGGTTACTTGAGACATTGTTGAGCGTCACTCAATGCTCTCTTTCGTGTTCTTTGCTCTTCTTGAATTTTTCGCATGGATTTCGGTGTCTTCCTCTCCTCTACATCGGGTATGCAATTTGTGTGAGAGTGAGTTGCGTAGGTGTCTGTCTCTTGATGACAATTAAAGTGGACTGCGACTGCACACATACATGCACACACACAAACATAATTATGTGGAGATAAGTCGACTGCAGTTGCAGCTGCTGCTTCCATGATTGTAGCTTAGGCGTGGCTTATCAGCAGCTTTCTTTCTTATTCTTATTTTTTTGTGGGTTTGCCTTCTTTCCTACTTATTCGTACTTAAGCCTGTCCGGGGACTGATTGAAGAAAACTTTCCACTCAATTGAAGAGAGGCCAGAGGCAGAGGCAAATGTTGAGCTATTAACGATCTTTTTTTTTATTAGTTTATAAAAGTTCAATTGTGCGGCCCGAGTGCGCATGCACTTAAATAGGGGGGTGCACTTTTCAATTTTAATTGTACAACAATGTGGAAGAGCCTGTGCCGTGCCACTGATCTGGCAAATGGAATGCTCGCACGCCTGCGCTTTGACAAACAAAGAGAAAAAGAGATAGAGAGACGTGAAATTAATGTTTGACCAGTTAAGAGGATGGGAGGCCAGCCGGCCCGACTGGCCGGCTAGACAGCCAGTCGAGAGACATACACAGTCACTCAGCCGGCACATTTCAGTACAATCAATTTAATTTACAGCGCATCTCTCTAACTGTACAGCAAAGAATAGTTCGAGAAAGGGAGTGCAAGAGTGAGAGTAGGAATGATATACAACAGCTTGAAGTGTCAAAATTGATGGGCAGAGCAGAGAGAATTGAAACACAGACTCGCACTTACACTCACACTCACACACTTCCAGACATTCATGCAAGCAGCGGCGCTTTGTGTAGCTGCTGGCTGCTGCTTCATTGTTGATAAATGCGCTTTTATTTATAGACTGCGGCTACGTGTGCTGTGAACTCTGCTTCTACTCTCTCGTTTTCCTTTGCCAGAGGTGTGGCGGTGGAGGCCTACGAACTATATGAGTGAGGAAGCATGTGTGCTTGTATGGGTGTGAGAGTGAGTGCGGCATGTCAAAAGTCATGTCTAAATTGAATTAAAGTAATAATTGAAGAGAGGGCGGCCCCTTAAAAGAGAAGGCAAGCTTCGAGCTAAAAGTTGTAACTATCTCATGGTAGCCACACGATTAATGTAGTTGTCAAAATTGGACGGAGGAGGAACAGCCTAGGGTTAATGCATCCAAATATATTTTAGACCGCACCCAATTATTTTGACACGCCCCCGCATTGTCGGGCGGCGCTTTTCGCAACAGCACAGACACGGAAGCAGCTGTACAAAGACAACTAAACATTGCCATGGCAACGTTAGGTTCCCTTGAAGCTTGCTCTACTCTGTTGCAGGCAAACCAACAATGGCCACAACCCTCTGTCGCAGCAACTGCTGTTTCTGCCCTCAGCCGTTGCCTCTGCTCTGCCAGTGTTCACTCGATGTCCTTTTTTGCCTTGATGCGTCATGCGCTCAAGTTTACTTACGCTTTTATGTTATTACCCTACTCACATATACTGTGGTAGAGAGGGGTTGTATTACGTTTTTACGTGTTCCCGTGAGTGTGTGTGCGTGCGGTAGTTTCCCGGCATATTTTGGCAATTACTAACCAACGTTGTGCTGTTTGAATAGGCAAGGAATTAATTGTGCCTCCTTCTCCCTCTCTCTCTTTCGACGCGAGCTTCAAATTGTATTTTTCTGCTGTTCTGGTTCTATGGTGCTATCGCTGTCATCGAAATACGTTCATAACTGAATTGCTGTTGTGTGGGGTTCAGTGAACCTCCCCCTCTCCCATGAAGCTTGATGTCTTGTTACGTATTCAAATTGATAGAAGTATATACACAGATGTGTGTGTGTGTACGACAAGTATTGCATTGCTTCTTGGTGTATGCTTTTGACTCATTTACACTAACTGTAGTTTAATGATGATGTGTGAGTCATTTATTAGTTCTCAGAGATTCTTTATTTGCATATGGCTCCGCACGTGCTCTAGCGGAAGCTGCTGTTGCTGGGGAAGGCAGACCCCCCCGATGGCAGGATGGCAAACATCTACGTTTGTCTGTGTGTTTACACTTACTCAATTTTCACTCTCTCCCTCGCTCTCCATGTGTGCGTGGATGTGTGGTTGGGTGTAGTAGGTGTGTGGCGAAATTGCCGCCATTTTTGTGGACTAACGGAACGACCAGCCCTACCACCTATTATGGTGTTTTACCTTACAACCCCTAAATAATGCTAATATTTTGTGTCTCTCTTCCCTGCCCCACCCCGTCTCTCCTCTCTGCCTGTACTCCACTGAAATCACTTTAAATTTATCTTTTTTCTAAGGTTTCGGTTTCATTGCCTTTGGCAAATTCAAAATACCCTTTCACAGGATAATTACACATTATTATAGAAATAGAGCTGGCTCGTCGTCGAGCAAGAGTATATCAAATTCGCTCCCGAAATGTTGAGCTCTCACTTTTGTGTGTAATTCGATTTTCTTCAAAGTGACGCATTGCATGCCATCCCCTGTCCGACCTTAGTCGGGTGCCGTTCTTTCATACAATTTTCCCAGTTTGCGACGGATAACAACAACAAAAAACAACAGCAACGTTGAACTTTGTGTGAAATGATTCATGGTACGTCCGTCTGCGAATATTGTACGATAAGGGCAGTTGCTCTGCTTTTCCGTAATTGCATTATTAAATGGGCTTGACCGGATCCCCCCGATAAGCCACCCCACCCTGACTGGTCCTTCAATGAGGTCATCAAATTGAGATCGACAAGAAGCGATCAATCGATCGATCGATTGGGTACACTACAATGTGTAAATGTCAAATGTATAAATAAGATTAGATGCAAATTTAAAAATAAATAACTAACGAAACCATTTCCCCGTTTTCTTTTCGCCTTTGCAGTTTACAGGAACGAAAAGATAAAAGAGGAACAGCAGGAACATGGGTAAAGCTCAGAGCAAGCGATCGATCGATATTACTACCGATCCCAAGAAGATCGGCGAAGGAGATGCGGTGGCCGGGAAGGTAGAAAAGATCGAGGATCCCGACCAGAAGGCAGCAGCGCCGGCCGTGAATGGTGATGCGGCCACGCCCAAGGAGGCAGCCGGTGACGAAGCAGCAGGCGGCGAGGTAAATGAATGAAATAATTACGCATGCTAGGGCCAGCTACAAACATACTCTTCATCTTTCCATTCCCTAGAAAAAGGAGTCTGAGGAGCACTCGGAAAATGATAAAGATCTGACTACCGAGAAGAATACAGCCGCAGCAGCTGAGGGCGCCTCTGGGGATGTGGCAGCAGCGGCCGAAACGCCTAAAAGCGATGCCTCCCCAGAGGGCTCGTCCCCCAAGGAGGCAGCCGCCGGAGAGGAAATCTCACCACTGGCCGACGAGAGCATCAAGTCCAAATCCAAAAAGGATAAGGTCAAGAAGAAGTGGTCCTTCCGAAGCATCTCGTTTGGCAAGAAGGACAAACAAAAACCAGCCAAGTCCGAGGAGCCCGTCTCTCCGACATCGGCCACAACATCACCGACCACGGCTGAGGCAGCTTCTCCTGCTACCGATGAGCCAGCGGCCACAACAAACGGAGAAGCCGAGCAGCCAGAAGCAGAGGTAGGTGACCTGAATAATAATTCAGTTTGATGAGTTGTGGCTAATCTGTTTTTATTTATTTTTGTATAATGATTATCAGAATGCCAGCGGTGCTCCCACCACTGAGACCACGTCCAAGGATCAAGCAAAGCCCTCTGAAAACGGTTCGGCCAGCGAGCAGGAGAAACAAGCCAACGGAGAGGCGGAGAAGGCGGCGCCATCCCCAGCAGCAGCAGTCGTAGAAGCGGAAAAGCCCAAGACTGCCGAAGAACCAATCCCAATTGCCACTGTCTCTGTCACCACCACCGACACGAATGTTGTTGTCGCCACCAATACCGCCACCGAAGAAGCCGTCAAAGAGAGCCTGATAGAGCAAGCTGAGGTTGTGACCAATGGCCATGGTGCTGCATCTGCCGGCGAGGCGCTGACCAATGGCGATAGCAATGGCCTGTCCGAATCATCACCCGTAGTTCAGACGGTAGCAGCAGCAGTCGTCGAGAACATTCCAAGCAGCGTTGATGAGGAGCCACACCAGAATGGCACAAACGGTCTCTCTTCCGGCAGTGCCACGCCACCGCCCACACCCGTCGCTGTCACTGCCGCCGAGTCCTCTGAGGCCGAACAGATCAAGAACAAGTCGCAAATCGAGGTAAACCCCACCAACACAGACACCACCACCACCACTTTCAACTTCTCCAACGCACAACACAACAAAAACACTGTAAATACAAGTACAACAATAACAACAACCGAAAACGAAACCGAAACCACAGAGAACACCACAACAAAAACAACCACTGAGACCGAGACTGTTGTAGCAGCCACAGAGTTAGTTAAGACCCAAACAATCCGAACAACCACCAACAAGATCCTCCAGGCAGCAGCAGCAGCAGAAGAAGCAGAAGAAGAAGCTCAAGTCGTTGAAGCAATCATTCAAGCGGTTAGTAGCGAGGTGGAGGCCGAAGCCGATGCCGATTACGAGGGATTCGTTGTTGTTGACCCCGAAACCGAAACTAAACCCAAAACTGAACTCGAAGGTGAATCCGAATCCGCACTTGAGTCCCCCAGTGAAGCTATTGCACCCGTTTCCCCTTTGTCCAAAGGCGAACCAACCAAAATTCCAGTCGATGGAGAGTCCGCTTCAGAGCCCAGCTCTGATCGTGCCGATGCCGATGTAGTTGTTGAGGCAAGGAACAGCAGTCCACCACCGTTGCCCAAGTCGCCGCCACCCTCCCGTGTCTCTGCCTTTATCCTCGCCGAGGATGCGATCGAAGAGCCAGAACAGAGACAGGCACCGACCTCACCAATAGATATAGAACGATCGGAAATCGAGAAGCAAGCCATCAGCATTGTGGATGAAATAACCGAACAGGCGGCCGTGATTGTAACCGAAGAGCAAAAAGAGAGTCACGAAGCAGTCGAGGAGTTGGAAAAGCCAGTCGTCGAGGAAACAATTGCAGTTGCATCTTCCACGTCCACGGATGCTGAAGTGCTAGCTAAACCGACACCAGCAACGGATGATGATGAGGATGATGATAAAGAGACAAGATCGCCAGAACAGGAGGCTATCGTAGAATCGCAAAGCGATAACGACAGCACTGTCGATAACGATAACATCATCATCACAAGCGAACAGGCTGGTGCGCCGCTCACCACTAAAATTGGGGAACTGCCACAGGTGGATGTCCGAGTGAACGAAGCAGAAGAAGAGAGCAACAACAAGGTGAATAGCAATCGTCCATCGTGAGCCATTTGCATCTATGGAGCAACCACTCACTCAATAAGCCCGCGCGCTCTCCACGCTCTCCTCTGTGCTTACTGTCTCTCTACTGTGTGTCCTACTCCCATTTTGCATCTGCAATTCAGTTGTTTTTAAGTGGTATTCGAGTAAATGTTGATGATTTGTAATGCAAAATTTCAGAAAATTAAATATGCAAATTCACCAAGATATAGTTTGTGACCTTTTCCTTTGACATTGTGATTGCTGACCAATTCAGAAACATTTGCAGGAATACCACGGTACATATTGCGCGCTTTGTTGCCGTAGTTAAATGTAGTTCATTTAGTGTTGACATTGATTTCGATAATGATGGTTAACAATAAATTTTGCATGAATCTTTGGCGAAGAAGCCCAACCCCCTGCCCGGAATGATGTATTACTAAATCACGGGGATAACAAACAGACTGTTGAGTGTAGTTGGGTGGGGAAACTGCTGCATTTGGCATTAACAAAATATCTCCAATCCAACCACATGAAAACTGCATACGCCCTAATCCTGTTACACACACCACCAACACATACACAAAAACAAGTGACAAATTCCTCTACACCTACATATACAATAACTCTCTGTTCTAATACCCCAAACCCATACCAACCTCATCTGTTGTGGCTGCCGTTACCCTTGCGATCTCTCTCTTTCTGTCTCTCACACACACTAAAAACACCAGACCATACACAACTGTACCTACATTTTGTAATTGTACACCCAAAACTACTCGCTTACATTAATTTTTTATGATTCATATTTTGGTAACATTTTGTTTTGTTGTTGCGTTGGCTGAGAGCGAAGGGGGGATCCTCTGCCCCCTCGTCGTCGTAACTGTACTTTCTCCTGTTTAATTGTTGTTGTTCCCCATTCTGTTTGCATAAAACACACATATGAAAACACTCTCACCATTCCCATGAATATTAATAATTCAGAAATTACCATATTTTTGCCAGGATATCGCCAAGGATCTGAAGGAGAAGAACGCCGCGGCAGACCAGAAAACACAGGAACTGCCCGTTACATGCGAATAAACCTACTCATAATTATATATAATATTACATATTATTAAAACAGAAAACCAACAAAAAAACAAACAAAAACAAATAAGAATGCAACAACAGAACGATACAAGAAACAAAAGAACGCAACGTAAAAAACAATTACAAGATAAACGAGAGAGAACAAACAAAAAAAAAAAAAACAAAAGTAAAAATACATTTTTTAACATTTACATATTTTAATAATTTTTGTACGAACTTCATATCCCTAATATCCAAGATAAAAGTCAGAGTTGCACCTGACACACACACACACACACACACACACACACCACACCTACCACCCACACCCACCAAAAGACGCGGGCAGCCACTGTTCCGTGTTGGTGCATCTGAATTCCATACAAGGGGGAATTGGATTCCATTCCTCCAGTTAATGGGAATAAATTCGCCTCATTCGCATACACCTAAACGCATTACACACGTATACTCGTATTCCCCTCCCACACATACGCGCATACATACCATTCTCATATTGGAAGATCTTGATAGAAGGAAACAACAACACCACCATAAACCATACAACAACAATCCATACGCGAAACGATGATACTAAGATGAATGTGAGGAGAATTTTTTGAATAATTTCTACTATACATTGTAACTGTAAGTTCGAAGAAATTTGTAAAGAATTTTTGGACGACATATTGGATAAAATATATATTATAAAATATAAACACCCAACATCGTGCTTCACTGCCAGACCACTACAAGGTAAAGCCACCCAAAATCCGAGCTGAAAACGAAAACACAGTTGACAACTTTTTTTGTCCCTTTATGAGTCCCATTTCTCTTTAATGCACTACTAAACAAGAAAAAAAATACAATTCTCCATACAAACCGATTGGATGTAACACAGTGTTACGGAAATAGTTGCGCGGTAACTGGAGGAGTAGAGTAGGCGCTAAGATTATGTTCTAAGTACATTCTAAATATTTCGTTATGGTTTAATTTAACGTAGCGTAACGTAACAAAATGTTACCACAAAAACAAATCTACAAAAGCTCCAACGAAAGCTTAAAAAGCGAAACAAATGAGAATATGAGAATTACTAATGTGTGCGTCTTTTGCAACTAAATAGAAAATCAAATCCTACTTAATGTATTCAATAAATTAAAGCCTTAACTTTGCGTTGCGCAACGTAAAGATATGGTCAGAGTCCTACCATCTACAAAAAATTCGAATATTGTGAAACCAAAGTCGTTTCCAAATCAACAAAAAAATAACTGCATACACAAACTGCAGAGTTGCCCAACTGGCAAAATTAATAATACAAAAACGCAGCAATTAGTTGGCAGCCCCACTGGGGGACTGGCTCAACATCTGACAAAAAACCGTTGCTTGTACAAGTTTAGTTGTTGCTGCTTCCGGCGGTACTCGGGCGCATGCCGGAGCATGAATACGGCCGCAAACAGAACGTAGATGGTCGATAGGAGGATGAGCATGGGAAAGGAGAAGACAATACGAGCCATCCGTATCTTCGGGTGTGCCTCCAGTGCCGGCGGTGCCTTCACATAGTCCCCTGCAAAGCGAAACAATATATGAGAGCTAGAATAGAGAATTGTTCTGATGCGTCTCACCGTTCCAGTTCTTGAACTCGCATCGCAGTCCGTCATAGCCGTCGGCGCAACGGCACCAGTAAAGGCTGTTGTTGCCGAGCGGATAACGGAAGCAGTTGCCGCCATTCAGGCAGAAGTTCGTCTTGAAAGAATCGCTGCAGGGCAGCATGGTGATCTCTGTAGTATCCTTGACCTTGTACGGTGGTGTGATGGTAGTCGAGAGCGAGGTCACGGTAGTACTGAGCGACCTGTCGTCATCGGGTGTTGACTCGCCAGTGTGAGTGACAGTAGTGAGTGTCGTCGTGTCGGTGATAGCATCGGTTGTGGTTGTGCTCGCGCCAGTTCGCCCGGATTGTGTACTGCTGGCAGGCGGCTCTCCCAGTAGCTGTTCTTCTAGCATAGGATCGACGGATGCATCCTCGACCGCGTTAGGCAGGAGTTCTCCGTCTTCATTCGGTTCCGGTGGAACTTCCCGGACTGTGGCCTGCAACTGCTGCTGCTGCTCCTCCTCCTGTTGACGTTGCTGCAGTTCCATCTGGTTGACCAGCTGGACCACATGCTCCTCTATCTGCTGCTGCAGCTCGTGGGCATGCTCGTGCATGTGATTGTGCAAATTGTGCTGATGCTGCACAATTTTCAGCGTGTGTTCGCGAAGTAGTAGAATTCGGCTCGAACAACAATCTGGCGGGTGGGAAAAGAGATCGAAAAGAAAGAGAGTGGGAGTGCAGATGAGAAAGAGGAGGCTGCCATTCCGATTGAAATTGCAGTGATACGGCAGCACCTAAACAGTTTCGGCGGCTTTTATTGGGTTGTGGCGCTCTTACCTGTGACGGCGACAATTGTTGAGAGCACGAAAATTACTTGGATTATTTGAGTAAACGGGATTTGCATCATTGGAAGACGCCCCAAGGCGTTTCGAAAGTCTGTGTGTGAAGCTGCTGCTTGACGGGTAAGTGGAAAATATGTTTTGTGGACTTGTGTCCAGAAAGAGATCTAAGGATCGAGCGGCGGCGTCTGGGCCGCGAATACAATTTGGCGTCGTCGCAACAGAATCCGAAACATATTCGTACTACAAATTTGCATCTCAGTCAGACACTTGGCTGTGGGCAGCGGCGTTTGTGGCTTTTACTGCAAAATAAAAATAGAACTTTATAGCGCGCTCACATTTTCTGTCACACGATCACAACGACACAGAGAGACACACACAACCAAACACACATGCTTGGTGTGGGGGGCGGTGAGCTTATTATAGAACCACATACTGGAGAATCGCAATGAATGTCGCATTGAAAAGCCTTTAGAATTATAATTATTCATGAATCATTATTGTGTACTGTACGGAGTGGTTATTTAGACAATAACTAAATTTATTTGGCCGCTGCACAGCGCGGGAAGCGAGATCCTCTTTTTTTTAAGAAGTTGATGCGCGAACGTTGGAAAAGAGACTAAAAGATATTGAGAAAAACAGAGGACAGAATCGGATCGGATCAACAGATGGACCAGAATCAGCAGAAGCAACAGCATGCGCGCTCCCACCGTATGAATGAAAATAGTAGCGAGTAGCGTGGAGGCTCGTGTGGGGCGCAAAAAGAGAAATGCAATGGTACTCGTCAATGGCCAAGAAAAACAGCTGCCTGTAGTCCTCTAGGTCCCCAAATCGGTCGATTTTGTTTTAGTAAATTTAGGGTTTTTAGGTAAATTAGTTACATAATTTTCTGTGCCATGCAATAGGCTCAGATGGTAATGCGTATATAATCTGGTATAACAGAACATGCAATACAAATTTAGGTGTGAAAATCCCGCTACCTATCTCCGTTAATCCCACCGATACCGCCGGACCCGTCGATGGCCACCAACACCGTTCGTCTATGCGCAGCAGTGCCCAGAAAATTGCCCTGAAGATCTTAAGATGTACTTCCTATTACATTCCATTATTTACCGCCATGTACTTTGAAATTCTATATCGAAAGTAAATACTTTTAATACTTTTTTCCGTCTTTTTACGCGTTTTCAACTTTAAACCAATCAAAATTCAAAATCCCTTGTGTGCGCTGTCGAACCGCAACCTGGTCGTGGGGAGTTGGGGCTCGGTTCGGTTTGCGTTAAACTTGGCTTCAGTGGTAACAGTGTGTGGGTCGAGCGCTAACAGTACAGCGCTACGCATTCTGCACGCCTCTTAGTTATTATGTCAGATCTGCAATGTGCAACTATAAAATACCGACTCCCTGCTCCCACTGACTTGATCCTTGCTCCCCAACTTGGTTGTATTCAGAATTTCGGAAATTAGCGGAAATCGATGGGAAAGCAAGTGTGAAATATTTGCAGCATACTTCTGAACACACCGATAAAAGTCGCACCCTCAAATACCCTATCTTTTCAGACGAAGAGGAAACACACACGAAAGTTAAATTACCTAATTTAATTCCTTAGTTTAAGCTTAAAATCCATTAAAATAATTACACGTAGATATCGACTAATATCCCAGGAGAATTTGAACTGTGAATTGCGTGCAGCTAAAAACAAATAAATTCCCACGGCTCTAGGTCTGCGGCTCCCCCGGCTGAGTCACCCCCAGGTGACTATTCCCCAGGAAGTCCAGCTCCGGGCACTGAGCTATCACCCGACCAATGTCGTATGGCTGCAGGCAGATCGGCACATTGGCGGCCGGCGTAGGCATCTCTTCAATGGTATCCTGCTGGAGCTTGACCGCTATCGAGCGGCGCACCAGACGCTCCACGAACATGCCCAACACACGGCCCAGCAGAGTAAGGGACAGCGACTGTGAGACACCCGGCGTACACTCTTCCGCCTCGAGGCTAATGTTGATGTCCTTGCACATGTCCTGGACCAGCTGCGTTGCTGTCTCAAGGTGCTCCGGCGGCGGCAGGTACAGCAGCTGGCGATTGTTTGCCACGGGCCCGCAGCGTCGACGACGCTGACTAATGTTCCGCGTATTGGACAAATCCACACCCAAGACATCGATGAATTCTGGATCCTCGACTACTTGCTCATGCCCTTGAAGGCGACCCGTTTGCTGCACTATCCAACCATCCATATGATTTCTGGAGCTGACACTGCAATAGGCCGAGAGGTGTGGCTGTGGATCCTCCTTCAGTTGCTCCTGGACACGCTGTGCCAACTGCTCCCCGCCGTCCAGCTTCACTGGCCTCTTCTCGGATGGTGTCAGCATCTTCAACGGTGGCGTATACCCATGCAGACGGGCAAAGCTTACGATCTCACGCAGACTCCAGTAGAGCTCCTTGCCATTGTCATGCATCTGCTGTAATCCCAGGTGCCGCAGCATGCAGCGACGCAGATGCCGTGCCCGCAGGTACTCGTAGCAACGTTGCCGCAAGGCAGGCTGTGCCTGGAAGGCCAACTGATTGGGTGGACACACAAAGGGGGGCTCCTCTTCCACTTTCGGATATCCTATCAGTGGCAAACGACGCAACAGAAACTCCACAGCGCTGCGCATGCTCTTGAACTGAGCGCTGCCAAAGATGTGATCCAGTTTCCGGGGTCGAATCGGTGCCGCAGTTACCAGAGATGCTGACCAACGTTTCTGCAAGGTGTTGTTCAGTTCCTGCAGCTCCTCCTTCATGTAAACGCTTGTCATGTCCGCATAGCCATGATCGTGCTGGATGCACAGCAGCTGATGACGTCGATTGACCGCCGGCGCCTTCAACAGACTAACTTGCGGCTTTAGAAGTGATCGCTGCTGTGAAGCCTGCTTCAGCTTGCTCTGCTGCGGATCGATGATGTACAGCTTTCCCTCCTTCTGGAAGACTACGTTCTGCTTGGCACGATGTCCATTCTGAGGATGTCGCATCCGCATCGATTTCTCGCTCTTGTTCGGACTTTTGCCATTGACAACGGGCAGGTAGACGACAGATGGACGCGAGGCGCTTAGGGGCGCTGCAATGAGCCGCAGCGGCGGTCTGGCATGCACAGTTCCTGTGGACGGCTGCTTTTTGGGACTATAGCTGAGCTTCAGGGGCTCCGTGACCAAAACCGTGGGTTCAATCTGTTCAATGTCGTCGCTCATTTCGATCTTGTTGATGCCAGCAAAGAGGTTGTCATCCAGTTCCTCCTTGTTTTGAGTGATGGATATCGTTCTGGGCTTCAAGCATTTCAAGGGTGATGGGAAGGAAGCTGGAGGAGCAACAGCAGGTGCTGAAGATGCAACCGCAGGTTCTGGGGGAGTCTCAAATGGTTCCTGCTTGATCTTGGTTTGTTCCGCTCTCAACCAAATCTCGAGAGTAGTCTCCGCGCCCATTGTATGCAGGCCACACATTGTCTTATCCAGCACGACCGTGTGCATCAACTGCACGGGCTTCTGTCGCAGATGATCCTGGAAGAACAGCTGTATCCGCATAGCGAACTCGCCCCAGCCACGACGATTCAGTTGAAAGGGCGGCGCATAAACATCTACAATATCATTGGGCCGATACGAGTGATGCAGTTGAAAGCGCACCTAAAGCGAAGATGCAAGACGGGGAATAGGTTAAAGTATCTCTTGAAATATCTCAAGACTCACCTTCTTGATGTACGTCTCCAGCGGTTTTGGTAGACCTTTGCCCTGGACATAGACTAGCCATTTGTAGACAAGTGCCTGGCCACTATTCCCTTGCCGCTGATCCCCGCCAATGTATTTGGATGTGTTGCCCACCACAAAGTGGAATTTTTTCTTGTTGTTCAATCGCGAGGCATTCAGCTCCACTTGTTGCCGCTGCTGTCGCTCGTATGCCTGACGACTGGTGGATGGCTGCTCATCCTCCACCTTGATGTTTACTGCTGGTTGCTGTTGATCCTTTGAATGATCAATGACAATACCCTGGTCTCGTATCTTTTGCTGTCGGCGACGCTCGGCACGACGGTGTGCTGGATTTCGATGCCTTATCGTCTGCTTGGCCAGTGTGGCAGCCGTGCGCTCCGGCAGGTGGTTTTGGATGGGTAAGGGCCGCTTGCCGACAATCTTCTTAATGGCCGGATGCAGCGGCAGCTGCGGACCAGCGCTCTCATCGCCAAAAAGGGTTTCGCCACCTCGCACTTTGGCCACGTCGCTGGCCGTGAGGGGAACCTGTTGCTTCCGATAGTACTCGCTGACCACTTGAAAGCGCAGCTTGTCCAGCAGATGACGTGCCTGCTGCAGTCGTCTGTCTATCTCGGCCAGCTGCTCATCCTTAAGCGAGATTTCCCTCTGAAACTCGACCTGCACAATCTCATAAATACGTTCGAACCGTTCCGTTGTGTCTGGCACGGGGCCCTGTGGCTGAGACGATTTAACCAACTCTTCCTCCTCCTCCTGCTCAGCCGCCGACTCCAACTTTGTGCGCTTTTGCTGGGTGGTGGCTGCATTCTCACAGTCCTCATTGGCTGCAGCTGTTGAGAGGTAGTCTGGATCGTGATACTCACTGTGTTTGCGCTTCTTTGGCGTCCCTGGCGCGCTCTGCTCCATGTGCTGTGCGCGACGCTTCTTATCGTGGGCACACGCACAAGGCTCGTATTACCTGTGTTCGCAGAAAATATATTTAAAGTCTCGCCGAAGCTGGTTGCACATTTATACCGTCTTTTTGGTAATAATTTACCAAAAATATATAAACAATTGAATGCGAAAATGAAGCGCAAACAAATGTGGACTAAATTGCTAGTGTTGCAGGTCGCTGCATTTCATGTGCGTGCGCGTAGTCGCTACCCATCACTGTCAGCTGTTTTGTTTGCGCGGGAAGAGACGGACGCCTCCAGCATCAAAATTTAACATTGCAAATCAAACGACCAGAAATTGCAGCAAGGATGGTTGAACGTATAGAGGATCTGAATCTGCCCAATGCGGTGATTGCGCGACTTATCAAGGAAGCCCTGCCCGATGGAGCGAGCGTGAGTAAGGAGGCCCGTGCTGCAATTGCGAGAGCTGCCTCGGTCTTTGCCATTTTTGTGACTTCCTCATCGACGGCGCTGGCCCACAAACAGAACCACAAGACCATTACGGCCAAGGATATAATGCAGACACTCACGGAACTGGACTTTGGGAGTTTCGTGCCGTCGCTTTCGCAGGATCTGGAAGTGTATCGCAAAGTTGTCAAGGACAAGAAAGATATCAAAGCCAGCAAGAAAGATGCGGCAGACGCCTCCGCCAGTGGCAGTGGAGCAGCAACCGAAGAGGCAACTTAGTGATGGATAGCAAATATAACCCCAAATCGAATCAAGTAAAGAAGATGTACTTTTAAGCTTAAACTAAAGTAGTTATTAATGTTTTCATTCATATTTTGTAAAATCTATTTACATTTATTAAATTATCTAAATTATAAAAAAAAAAAAAAATACAATGTCTTGTCATATTCGCCCTATAGAGCATTAAAACACAAGATCGCGAGTTTCCAATGTCTACTGTACTTACGTGCCACTCACAACACTATTCCTCGCCGCTCACAACACTAAAACCCGGTGTGCTCCCGCGTCATGCGTCTCACAGCAAACAATTTATTATTTATTTTGCATGTTTTATATTATTGGAATTGGTGAATTGGCAGCATGGGAGTCACGGGCTTGTGGAAGCTAATCGAGCCATGCGGCAAGCCTGTGCCGGTTGACACTTTGGAGGGCAAAATACTGGCCGTGGGTGAGTCTTCGATTTCGAGGCTTTGTGAAATTCATTCTAATGAAAAATTGAAAACACGGCCTTGCAGACATATCCATTTGGCTGCATCAGGTTGTGAAGGGTTTCCAGGACAGCAAGGGCTCCGCTCTGAATAATGCGCATCTCTTGGGCTTGTTTCATCGCCTGTGTAAGCTGCTCTACTACCGCGTTCGTCCCATCTTCATATTCGATGGATGCACGCCACAACTTAAAAGGGATACAATTGTGGGTTTCGTCTTTGATTCATTTTTACCTTTCCCTTACTCGACTAACCTTTGTTTATGTCCTCGTTGCAGGCGCGTCGCCAGCAGCAGCGCAATAAACTCAGCAACGAAGCAGACCGCTTACAGGCTCTGCTGCTGCAGTCCCTGGCCAGGGAGAAGGTTGTGCAGCAGGCGCTGGGCAAGAATGCGGAGCTTTTGCTGAAATCACCAGTGAAACGCCCGCCTGCCAGCAAGTCGAAAAACGAAGAGGATGATCTATTCAAACTGCCAGAATTGCCGTCTTCGGCCGCTGGGCAGGACAACCAAGACGAAAGCGATCAGGATTTGGACTACACCAGTGCGAGTGCCACTTCGGATAGCTCTTTTGACGAGTCCACCGCGCGACATGCCTACAATTCGAGTCTGCAGGCCATCGATGTCAGGAGTCAGAATTTTAAGAACCTGCCCGCCGACGTTCGTCACGAGATACTCACCGACATCAAGGAGACTCGCAAGCAGTCCTCCTGGGGTCGCCTGCATGAGCTGCCCGCCCGTAGCGATGAATTCTGCTCCTTCCAGATGAAGCGTTTGCTGAAGCGACGCGCCGTACAGGAAAGTCTGGAGCAGGCCGAACAGGAAATGGGCGGACACACGCTTACTTACTCCGAGCTGTGTGACTTTTTTAGCGAGGAGGGCATTGTAACGCCAACGGCCATAGAGCAGAGCACGCGACAAATTAGCTCGGATGAGCATACGCGATTCCTGCTTGTCAGGGATCTGAAGAAGAAGGCACTGGAGAGTGCCAAAATCGAGCCGAAGATGGAGACAATTGAGGAGCTGGCAGAAACAAAGCCCCCAGTTTATGAGGAGAAGCCAACTACATCCAGTAAGGCGGAGCAGGCAACCACATCCAGCAAGGCGGAGTCTGTGGATATAACCAACGAATTCGATGCGGAATTGGCACAAGCCTTGGCCCTCTCACTGGAAGAGACCCAGAAGGTGTACGATGAGAAGGACTACGACTACGAATCGGATCAGGAGTTGCGCCTCAATCGCGCTCAAAGCAAACAGTTGCGGCACGCAGCCAAGGGCCCGGCGAGGGCATACATGATTGAATATGGCGGCATGAACGATGAGGAGGTGGGTAACATAATGGAGTCCACTCAATTGAATGACACGGATAGCCTGGAGCATTTGCTAGCCACAACTGCAGCCCAGGACGATATGGCCAACGATTCCACAGAGGAGGCCGAGAAACTATCAAAGGCCATTGCCGAGAGCAAGAAAAGTCTCAAAGAGAATCAAGTGCAGCTTGTAGACACGGACACGGATTCTGATTTGGAGGAAGTGGCAGCGCCTGCTCTAGAAATTTGTGTGGACATAACTGAGCAGCTGAAGCCCACCAACGATCTGTTTGCGGAAATATTCGAAGAGGAATCAGACAGGGAGAAAGCGGCTGAGGAAAGCGAAGATGATGAAGATTTCATAGAAGTGCCAGCGAGTGAGGAAGTGAAGCTCATTGAAGATTCACCTAAACCAATTACAGATGAAACAATCGAAGTTCAAGAAAGCCAGGAAGAAATGCTCACAGAACTGCAAGAGGATAAAGAGACATCCGAGGCAAAAACCAAACCTGATTTGGACTCCATATTGAACGATCTAAAAAGGAAAACCGAGGCAATCAAAGATATCAAATTAACAGTGGACGAGCCTAAATCAATCTCCATTCTCGAGCCAAAACCAAAGGCAATTCTAAGCTCTATTCTGGATGACCTGCAGAAGGAAATCGCTGCCGTCAAAAACATAAAACTGGAGCAAGTCAAGCTGAACAATAGCGCAATCATTGAGTTATCCTCGGACGATGAGGCAGTCTTCAAATTCAATGCCACCTACAAGTCCGAAGAAGCAGGTTCCACCAAGACCGAAGCAGTGATTGTGTTATGCGACAGCGATGACAATCAAAAGCAACGAATTTCACCCAACAAAACACCTAGCAAGAAAAAATCCATCAAGCATTTCTTCGAGACAAGTTATGTTGTGAAACGGACACCGGACAAGTCGCCAGTGGCTGAAAATGCCACGCCTCCGGGAACTCCAAAGGTGCCGCAACCATTCTACAGAAAGCGAACACCCAAATCTGATCGCAAACGGCCTGCTGATGCTGCAAACGAGAGTGATGAGGAAGTGTCGCCCACTAAAAGGTCCAGCAAATCGTCGAAGTCTCTTTTTCAGGCAAACGAGCCAGAGCCGGCTGCGGCTGTGGATCCCGGGGTAAGCATTGATAGGCAACTAAGTTCTTAGCTTATCCATAACTTTGCTGTTGCAGGAGCTCACCCGAGATGCAGCAGAGGCCCTCAAGTCGCAGAAGACCTCCGAAGAGCTGCAGGAGATGGCTGATAAATTGTTCCAGGAACGTAAGGAATTGGAAATCGAACGTAATCGGCAGGACCGCATGGCCATGTCCATTAGCCAACGTATGAGCATTGATTGCCAGGAGCTGCTGCGTCTCTTCGGCATCCCGTACATTGTGGCGCCCATGGAGGCGGAGGCGCAATGTGCCTTCCTTAACGCCACCGAACTTACGCACGGCACCATCACGGACGACAGCGATATCTGGCTCTTTGGCGGTCGCACTGTCTACAAGAATTTCTTTGCCCAGAACAAGCATGTGCTGGAGTTCCGTGCCGAGCAGATCGAGCAGACATTCAACTGCAATCGGGGCAAGCTGATACAGTTGGCCTGCCTGGTGGGCAGTGATTATACCACGGGGATTCATGGAATTGGTGCTGTGACGGCTCTGGAAATTATCGCCTCATTCTCGAGCGCCAGCAATTCTGTAGTGGATGGCGGAAGCCCAGCCGCCAGCGGCAATCAATCGGTTTTAGCCACTTTGCATAGGTTTCGAGACTGGTGGCAAGCACACAAGAGCACCAGCTTACCGCCAGGCAGTTCAGCGCGTCTGGCGCTTCGAAAAAAGCTTAAGAATATCGAACTGCACGAGGGCTTCCCAAACATGGCTGTGGTAGAGGCGTATCTGGATCCCAAGGTGGACGACAATCGGGATGCCTTCAGTTGGGGCTCACCGGATGTGGAATCCATAAGAGAATTCACACGCAAATCTTTCGGCTGGACAACATCCAAGACAGACGACATCCTCCTACCGGTAATTAAGAAAATTAACGAGAAAAAGATTCAAGGCTCCATTCGCAATTATTTCACGGCCAAGAGTGCTCTAAGGGTGCAACAGCCGCAGGTCAGCAAGCGCGTTCAGCTGGCCATTGACAAGATGTCGGGAAATATCGATGCAGAGACGCCGGAAAAACCAAAAAAGGTTGTGCGCACCAGGCGGGCCAAGAAAGCTGCGACGACGGCGAATGAGCCAGCGGATGTGAAAGCCGAAACCAAGCCCGCACGTCCCAAGCGGGGCAAGCGAAAGGCTTCAACAACAGATACAACCGAAGAACAGCCATCCACATCGCAGCCGATGACAAAGCCTGGAAAATGTCCAAGGATACCAGACACCACAGAAATCATACCGCAAAGGGAAAGGGACATGGAGCAGATGCGCCTGAACAAGGCCAAGGCAGCGGAAGTGCTTAAAAAATCTGCAGCAGCCAAAGACAACCAAAACTAAATCCAGATTGAAATTTCACGTTTACAATTATGAAACTCACATCTTGAGATAAGTTATAATCATGCATGGAAACTCGAAGGAGCTGGACATCAGCAAGGAAAGTGTTTAGTGCCTCACAGTATGGTCCATCAATCAGACCACAAAGGAAAGTCCAGCCAGAAGCTAAGCACAAAATAGAACACCAACAAGTAAAAGGTAACCCATTCATTCCCATTCACCCTTAATTTGGAAACGAAGAAGGGAGATCTCAACTGCAAATTCATATAGAAAAACTACAAACTTTAGAGATGGACTTTAAGTCCATCAATTGGTACGAAACTGTTGAAAATAAATACAGAGTTAAGCCTTCGTCTTCGCCTTATAGTCGTTCACATGTTGACAACGATTATGTGGATTATGTGCACCATTTACTTTGCCCAGCAGATGAATACGCCAATGGAACTGCACTTGGCGGAGCTGAGAGGACAAAACAAAAAGGCTGCAAAAGTAAACAAGGCTGATGAACAACAGTCCAGATGGAGGAAGCCAACCCGAGGGAAGCCTCTGCCCAGAAGATCTCTCAGAGCACCTCGAGAAACTCACCGCCTGCGAAAAGCTATGGAATCAATTCCCGATGAGCTCTCGCAGATGCAGGTGCAGGCAGAGCAGAGTGAAGAATGCTTAGACACACAATCTTGGTCAGGGAAAAGTAACTGTATTCAATGCGACCTGTAGCAGGATAAAGGCATATATATTGAATATACATGTAGATTAATTTTGTATTCGTATTGCATAAATCAAAGCAAAAGATTTCCTTACAATAAACTATGAAGAGACCCAGCTAAGTATTGCTATCAGCTTTTAGCTACCCTGATGTAGACCCAGCTACAAAACTAAGAAAATTCAAAATTTTCCGCCGACAGCTGCAACAACATTTGAAAATGTCTACTCTCTCTCTCTCTAAGTGTGATTCTGCTCGTTCGTATCTTTTATTAAGTTTTAAACAATACAATAAAAATAAATCCTTAGAATTGACAATCTTGTGAAAATTTGATTAATCTTTCCTATACAATTATGTTTTCAGAGCTTAGAGTGCTAGCTAGCTATCTATATTCACCTGAATCTGAAAATCGAGGAATTTGATTTCCGGAAATAAAGAGAGAGAATAATTAACCCATCGCCGACCAGTGGGTGTTCAAACATACGCACGAATATTTAGATTATTACAAAATGCTAGCTAAGTTCGTGGTCAAGAATGTGTTTATTATTTTCTAAGCTATAAAAGGATCTACAAGATACATTTATAAACCTCATTATTTTTATCCGCGGAACTCCAGGTGTTCAACTGTATAAATAGCGGGGGGTTTAAGTGGGTTAAGTTCATTCTTTACTCGGTCTATCGAAATCTGTGGTCGTATAAACAAAGCTCCGGGTTGGCTCCATTTGAACGCACTTCTGTACCATCAGAAATCGCGACTTGCACGTATGAAGGTAGAAATGTTTTTCCGTGTGTGTGTGTGTATCGTGTTTTCGTGTAATTCATAAGCAAATTGAAAAATTGCGAATATAATTATGTTTTCTACATCGTCTGTCGTTCCCGTTACCGTTGGGTTGTTATTGCCGCCGCCGTCGTCGCCGCCGCGGCGTCTGGCATTACAATTGCCCTACCATCCACCACCACCTTCGACAATTGTCGTGTCTCTCTCGCAACCCCCCTCCTACGTGCAAACACCGCGGAATTATGCTATTTTTAGCAATATTTCCAACTGGAAGTTGTCGGATTTGACCTTTTGGCAGTGCGATGAGTGAGCAAAAGCTTTTAACTGTAATTATTAGGCAAAGCCGAAAAAGTCGGTTCGTTGTTCTTCAGCTTCTCACTGTACGTGTGTGTATGTGCGTGGGTGTTTTGTGCATGTGTATGTGCGAGTGGTGTCTGCATAGGAAAAAATCGATGCCAGACTCCCTGCCAAGCAGAAACTTCATTCAGGAAAGCAAAGGCGAAGACGGGAATCGGGAATAAGCTGTAACAACGACGTCTACGTAGCCGCAGTAAATTTAGCAGTTAGACAAAGTTGTCTGCCCTGTCTTGTGTGCAAATGTGTGGGAGTTGGTGTGTGTGTGTGTGGGTGGGCTGTAGCAGTTCGAACTCCTATGGACAGTTGCCGTTTTTACCGGAAATGGAATTTTTTCGTTTAGAAGCTTTAATATTGAAAACTTTTATTGTTGTCGTCAGTGCATCGCATCCGTTGCAATCAAATACAACTTTTTTTAGGGCAAACTAAAATGCAATTGCAAAAAGTTTTAGAAATTTTTCTGTTTCCATGTTTATATATAGCATGTTACTGTAGGAGTAGACGGGAAGGGTGTCATGTGAAAATTGTGTGTGAATGCGCCTGACCCAAACTCCTCTCTCTCTCCTGGCAGGCAGGCCCCCTCGGTGTATAGAAAATATGAATGAAGGAAGATTAGGTGGAAGGGGTAGAGAGGGAGTGCGCGAATAGTGTTCTCTCACACTCTCGCCAGCCATCCAGACTCACGTTGTTGCTTTTCTCATTCTCATTCGTTTCTTTCCTTCATTCTGTGGTTGTTGTTTCTTCGCACCCCTTCTCAATTCTCCAATCTCTTTTAGTTATCGGACCAACCTAACGGTAACAACTCAAACAGAAAAATCAATGTTCAACCGTTTTTGATTAAACAATTTTTAGAGTTGGTGTGTGCGTGTGTGCGAATATGTTTAAATTTTGTGAATATACTAAAATAATGTAAACGAAATTTTCAATTGGGAACAAAGAGCGAGAAGAGAAGAGTGAGACATGGTCGAATAGGGGGCCTGAAATAAATATATACAGAAATCCTTTAAATTAAAGAACAAAGGCGAAGTGGGTAGATGGTTTCATTTCAATTCAAAGTTAATGTCTTAACAACATTGCACATCTTGAATTTAGTAGCAATCGTAGCTCCCCAAAAGATGATAAGTATAATACAAATATTGAATAGTCCGTGGAAAATTAATGTAATCCACACCGTATAAACAAGATAGAGACAAATCAAGGTCAATTTTGACAGAAAATATCCATACAGAAATCGTATCCCATATCCTTAGTAGGGACTTTCCCTGATTTGGGTAGAAGCTGAAAATGGACACGCGAATCTATGCAATAGCTCCTTAATTGGATATCACGCTACGAAATCAATATTAATTATTTATTAATAGCGGCGGCAAATGAATGGCGAATGCCCTTCCTTCCTCTCAAAGTAAAACCTGCAGCGGGGGGAGCTTACAGCCGGAACTTTGGAACGACAGCCAAAGTCAATAATGCCAAAAACAAACTGTAAATCTCATGACCTCTCTCTCTTACACCCCCACAGAGGCCGCAAAGAGCATCGCCATCTATAACATTTCGATGACGAATTTAATGACCTGAAAACATTGAGAGAAGTAGAGGACAGACGGAGGGAGAGACAGAGAGTGAGCGAGATAGAGCAATCACTTTCACACGTTGCATAGATGAAAATTGAAAGAGCCGACAACAAAGCAACGTCAGCAGCAGCGACGTTGACAGTGGCAGAGGCAGCGGCAGCAACAGCAACGTTGAAGTCTGTGGGCGCGCATTGATTACAGTTTCATAATAAACGTAGCGGAGGAGGCGCAAAGAGGAAAGAGGAAAAGAAGAAGAAACTACTCAAAAATAAATAGAAAGAGAAGGAGAGTGGAGTGCGGAGAGGAGGGTCCCCAATGAAAATCGCATAATGGCAGCAGCACCTGAATCGTGTGGAGCGCGCGATTCAAACGAAACTGAGGCTGAAACTGAATCCGAAGAGGCGTTGCAACTGGAGGTGGTGGCAGGAGCAGAAACAGAGGCTGGTGATGCCCGAGCGGATGCTGTTACCGCTGCCGCTGTCGCTGATGGTCCAGCAGACTCCGAACCCGCATTGGAGCAAGCAGCAGCTATGGCCAGCAGCGACCAACAAAAGCAAAAGTATGTCGCAATTTTTAACTGAATTGCTGAGCCCCCCAACCCAATACTCCTTCCCTTTCTGCTGCTGCTGCTGGTTGTATTGGAAAATGTTGGAAGAGGAGAAGGGCATGCAACGTAGGCAGCGCACAGCCAATTACATTTTTCATTTGATTTCTTGCAGCGAACAACATCAGTTGCAATCCCTGGAGCCCATCTCATTGGATGACATACCTGAGCCCATCAAAGTCCTCGACGACATCATATCGGAGTTCGAGGAAGCAGCCACGAAACCAGTGGCCTTGCACTGCAACAGTGGCGAGAATCAATCCGAGGATGATGGTTACATGAGTCTCAGTCGCAAAAAGTAAGTACAATTTGGGTTAATGAATTTATCAATTGATGCTAGCGAAATTCAGCTATTCAGAAATAAGACTCTAGGCTAAAATGGCGTTTTGGCTTGAGAACTTATTTAATTGATGATGTACATGACAGATGTAGAAAACATGTAAAATTCGAAAATATAAGGTTGCATTATGTACATACATATATATCTGGATATGTATGAATGTACATTGTATATGCATACACATACACTGACTAAGTAACGGGTATAAAAGTCTCAATTTATTAATTGTATATAAATATAATATAAATATAAATAATATACAGTTTTATTCTACAAAATTTAGAGCCGTGACAAAAATTCCAAAATTTATGCTGTCAGAAATTTATTGAAGCGATCCTTTCCACAAAATTGAACAGACGAATCTGCCTATCACTAAACGACACATCTAAATATGCAAAAGATTCCCGACACACGTTTCAACATGATAATACAGATTACCAATTTTCATTTTACTAGCATGTCCAAAAAGGATTCGGAAGATGTGCCACAGACACCCAGCACAGACACCGTGCCCGAGGGCAGTTTCAATGAAGTCGATGGCACAGCTGAGAATCTAACCAAATTATCTGAGGCAGAGCATGGCCAGGAAATGCAAACGCCACTAATACAGACAACGTTGGTGAGTAATAGGATGGTAGGATCCATCCATTTATCATTCTGGCTAATGGGAAACCAATTAATTCACCGCACACACATTCCCATCCCCTGTTCTGGCACCCATTCACCAATCTCAACCCCCACAGCCTAAGGCTCGCAGTGCAAACTCCACAAACTCCAACTACTCGAGTCTGCCCTGCTGTGGTGCCAGAACCACTGCCGCCTCGAATTTGGGTGGCGTGTCCGTGGTCGATTCCTCAAGTGGATTGGCCTCCATTCGTCCGGGAAGCAGCTGCAATGGGGAGCGCAATGCACTGGGCATCGACATCAGTGCCGTGCACAATGCCGTGCTGAGGGGAAACCTAGCCAAGCTGCCAGAGCCAATCGTAAATGAACATCCGGTCACCATTTACCCGGGTCCATCGGCCAAGGCAGCATCTGGCGAGGGGGCACGTAACAAGCGTCTGCTCAGTTCGGTGGAGAAGCACAAGGAGATCTGTCACATGCTCAATCCACATTCCAACAGTTCCACCTCCTCGTCCGGATCACAGCATACATCAAGCGGCGAGGCCTCGCCCCTGGCTTCCCATATGAATGTGGCCTCCTCAAAGCCGACCAAGGAGGATGACTATTCGGAGGACTCGCTGGAAGAGTCCACCGTCTCCACGGATCTGACACCCGTCAAACTGAATGGTGTGGCCTGGGAGATTCATTTCAAGAGCAATAAGAAGAAATCCAGTGGTTCAAAGAGGACCAGCAGTGGTGCAACATCTAAAAAGGTTTGACCTTAAAGCGACTCATGGAAGCCACAAATGTTTATGCCTCTCCCTTTTGCAGCAACAACAGCAGCAGCGAACCGAGAACTTGGACGACTTCAACAAC